AGGGGAGGGACGGTGGGGGGTGGGAAGCTGGGGAGAGATAGCAAGGGGAGAAATGCCAGATGTAGGTGATGGGGAGGAAGACAGCAAATCACACTGCCACGTGTGTTCCTATGCAACAATTTTGCATGTTCTTCACATGTACCCCAAAATCTAAAATGCAATAAAATAAATAAATGGGAAAAAAATGCTCAGCGTTACTTTAAAGAAAATTGAGATCACTTGTATTAGTTTGAATTTTCACTGATGTTTGGAACATGGTTTGTATTTTGACATAATAGCCTATGTCTTGCTTCATCCTTTTTTCATTAAAATTTTCCCAATATTTTATTACGAAAAATTTCAAACACAGAAAGCTTGAAAAAATTTCAGTTAATACTAGTATGTTCATGACAGAAATTTTATCAGGAATATTTTATTATGCTTGATTTTTTTTTTATTGTAGTTTAGGTGCTGGGGTACATGTGCAGATCATACAGGATTGCTGCATAGGTATATACATGGCAAGGTGGTTTGCTGCCTTCATCCCCCATCACCTATATCTGGTATTTCTCCCCTCATTATCCCTCCCCAGCCTCCCCACCCATGCTGTCCCTCCCCTAGCCCCCGCTACTGACCTCAGTGTGTGATGCTCCCCTCCCATGTGTTCTAATTTATCTACTGATGTATCCATCTTTCTACTAATTTATTAATACAGCTTGCCTTTTGGATGCATTTCAAAGTAAGTTGTAACATCAACACACTTCTTCATAAACAGTTCAGCAGTTATATTATTATTTGTAGTTCAATATATTGCACAGTTCTTTGATTTCTTTCAAACATCCACTGCACAAATCTTACATGCACATTAGATAAGTTTTGATAAATGCATTAATTTTGTTGTGAAATATGTTTATAACATATTTCTAGGTAGAGCTTGGAGGTATACGTAGCCTGTTAGATGGATTTGCTTTTAAATATTTATCTTATTTTCAAGAGTAGGTGCTGTGTCTTCATTATTCTCTATACCATCAGTGCTGAGAATAATATCTAGACTAAAATATTGCTCAAAAATGTGTTTTTATCTGTTCATTTAGTTTTGGTTGAAATAAACTGATTATAATTTTTAGGTTCCATATAGTGATGGAGTTAAAAAATGTTTGCATAAAGAATTTGTTATATGGATGCTACCATGCATTTGTACAAAAAAATACATAACACACTTAAATTCCACAAATGAATCTGAATAAATGTGGAGGTCAGAATTTGTTGGCTATTTTATTGATTTGTTAGTGAGAATATGAACATGTATTTGCAATATACTCTTTTAGCTTTGTAAGTGGGAGAAAGTATTTGAAATATATTTGATCATTTCTTCAAGCATATATGTAAATCTCTGTTTTATAGTTTTTTCTAAGTTTTGTCTATTGTTTAATTTGATCTTTATAATCAGTGTAAGAATATATAGATTATAGTGTGTGCTTGATGTGTCAATATATACAATTAGTGACTAGAACACTGGACAATTGTATGAGCATATTTGCGTTTATCTGTTTGTATGTATGTAAACTTGAAAGAGGCAATGTGAATGTTAGTAAATGAATAGTTAAATGGCTCTAAGGCGATATCTGTGAAGGTCTCAGGAGAACTATGGCTATTTATGTTTGTGTGTATACATGTATGCAGTGTGTTTATATTCCCCGATCAAGGAAGGATTAGTGTACTAATAGATATGGACGATTACATCAGGAATGACTGGGTCAAGAAAGAGATTCTCCTGGGAGCAATTCTCTTATGGCCCAACTCACTCTTCACTGATACCACCCTCCCAATTATTTTCATGGTCCCTCCTACAACCACACACAAGCAAGCCTTGGAATTCTGGAGTGCTCATAAATTTATAAGTCTTAGGAGAATGAGCTGATGCCATTGCCAGAGGGACCCACAGCACAGTATATCCAGCTACAAGGAAAGCATCTTCCATCCAGTGAGTGCTCCCTGCTTCACACTACCCATCTGAGCTCTTTAACTAGATTTTATTCTAAATTTTAACACTTCTACCAAAATTCCAGGCAGCTTTTAACCTTTTGTCTCCCCTTCTAAATGTGAGCCAAATCTGACCCCTTCCAAAATCCAGGATCACAGACTCTGATGCCAAGTTTCCATCTGAATCAATATCATAATACCAAACGACATCCCACTGAGTTAAGTGACTGCTGCATCATTTATAGATTTTTGTCTCAAGGATATCTTATGCCTTTTATTCAAAATCCTAAAATTTGATTTTTTGTCTTTTATACCTGACTTGTATGTGCAGCTAGAGAAAAATTACAGAACCAAATGAACTGAAGTCATTTAACAATGTAGTTGCCAATCTTAGCAGGATTTTCAGTATTGTGTATGTCAGTATACGTGTGTGTGTATGGGAAAATAATTAGTGGAGATATTACTGTGGGTTTGTTGATGCCGATGCATTTGTGACACTGTGTGTGTGTGTGTGTATGTATAAACATTTATTCAAGAGGGCTTAAACATAAGGAGATATTTGAAATATATTGCATAATGCCAGTGAGTAAGGAGGTGTTTGATAGTTTATGTGTATGTTTGGATGTGAGATAGCGCCTATAAATACCTGGGTGAGTAAGTATAAGAGTGTAAAAATGTATATTTTCCTGGCACCTTTGAATGGCTGTGTGTGTGTGTGTGCTCATGATATCCTGTACCTTGCTTGTGTCTCTGCACCTTCTTGACCTTCCTTCTAAGATAGGTCACATTTAGGAAGTTCTGATGAACACTCCTGTGGACAAAACAAAGAAAAATTATTTTGAGGGTGGTGGTGTGGAATCTTCTCCCTGGAGGAAAAGTTTTCAAAGTTGCTTTGTTAATGGATGAAAATTTGGAAAATAGATAAAATATTACCTTCTAGACTACCTCGATTTGCATGCCAGTTGTTACAGACAGTGGGGTAAACCTATATTGTGGATGAGTTCTTAGTATCTGTTGGTGCCACCAAGAGTCTTTTTATTTCTTCATGACTCAAAGAAAACCTTGGAGCAAAGACAATCAAAATTAAAAAAATAAAAAACAGATCTGAACAGGTTAGATCTAAAAAGACCTCTTAGAGACATGAACTTTATACTGGGGCTTGGAGGAAGAAAGGTTTCACAAGGACAGTAATCCATGGGAGAAAATACTACTTATTAAATGGATGATTTGCCTTCTTAGTGGAAGGAGAGAGAAACTCAAGGAATAGATGAGTTTCTTTTTACTACCTATATATATTTGGGATTATGACTGATATCTAGATATTATCCAGCCCCTTGTCACCATCTAATTTCACTGTGTTTATGAGGACTGGTAGGAATAAAATGGGAACTCTAAAATAAGAAAAATAATAATGGAGACATTGTGCTTAAATTCCATAATGGAGTTTTAATTTTAAGATCTCAAATACCATGAAAATATGATTTAAGAGCTATTTTAAATAAAAGTTGAGATGAAGTCTCTTATGGTGTGACTTCCCAGTTTGCATCATTCTGACTATTGTTTATTTTGCCTGAAGTTAGGCTGAGGCTGCTTAAAAAAAAAAAGACAGAGAAGATAATTCAGTAAAGATGGTAGAGAAGGATAAGCCCAGGAAGAAATACAACTGTGGACAAATAGTGCCCCTGAATGGAGAAAAGTTGACTTAAAAACAGTGTTAACTGTAGCAAGAAGATCAAGAGAATTAGGAGACAGAATGTCTTCATTAGATTCAGAGACAAAGAGGTCACTTGGTGACCGTAGAGAAATTTGTTACAACTCGGAGAGGGGGAGTGTGGAAGCCACAATATAGTGAAATGATTAGTGCTAGAAGGTAAAGTAAGTAAGACTGAATCCTGACATTGAAGATCTCAGAAACAAGTTGGAGAAGCAGGCAAATAAATAAAAAAAAATAATAATAATAAAATAAAACCTCCTATTTCCAGGTACCTGGAGAGACAATTTTTCAAGAAATTTGGTTCAGAATTGGAAAAGGGCCATAAAGCAATGGCTAGAGAAGAATGTTATTGTGTCTTTATGATAGAATGGGCTTGCACACACTTACTGTCTGAAAGAAAAGAGGCAGAAAGGGAGAAAATGAGTATGCACTGGATTAGTGAAAAAGGCTCTGAAGGAGGTGACAGGATATGAAATCCTGAAGGTGGAGAGCCTGTCCTTGGAGAAGGAGGGAAATCTCTTTCTCGAAAGTAGAGGTTAAGAAGGACAAAGCTGTGCACAAGTTTAAAATTTTGGTAATGGTTAAGTAATAATTCTCTCGTTTTTATTCCCAGAAAATACTTTATTCTTTAGTTTTACCTAGCTGCATATCGATTTGTTTATATAATTTTTTAAAGGTTGGCGTTTACTGTGCGAATGTCAAAGAGGTAAAGAGGAGATAAAAATACCAGTCTTAGTGTGGGTGGGTAGTTCAGGAGAAAAGTGAGGAAAAAGAGTTCATAGACAGACCAGGAGAAAATGGGGGAATCATGGAGACTCAAGAACAAGTGCACGAGCAGTAGAAGGTTGGAAGGTAGAAGGCTTCCTAAGGACGTGAAAACAGGAAATTTAGGATTTCAGAGATAGAAGTTTTTTGTTATGACAAGTTCAGGGGCAGCCATTGGGATTTGGAGGGTGGGGTGAAATCTGAGTACAGGTTATTGAATCTGTAAATTTATAGCAATAGATGTTCCATCTACACTATCTACTGAAGACTTTACAAAGCCTAGGATGTATTTCTTCTTCCTGGTCTACCAGGAACAATTGTTCTGTTGTCTCCTATTATGCCTCTCTGTGTTTCGGGCACTCATTTGATCATCAAACCACAGAGTTTCTACTATGGCCTAGATAGTGTGCAGGGCCCTGGTGGCACAAAAACTATTAGAATCTGGTTCCTTCCTTAAAGAGATTAGTGTCTTACTGGGAAGGCAATTATTTTCAATCTATGACCTTTTGTTGGAGACAGGGTATCTAAAAGAAAGTGAAGAAGTCTCACAACACACCCTCTTGGGTCTATTCTCCATCTGTATTCTCCCACCATACTGGGCCTCAATGGCACCCCCTTCCAACCAGAAACACTCCAGCTAATGGGCATTCCTGGGATACAAAAGGGCCTCACCTGGATTGCCTTGATTTTCTGCATCCTCTACACGATCTCCATCGTAGGTAACCTCAGCATTCTTGCACTGGTGTTTTGGGAGGCTGCTCTGCATCAGCCCATGTACTACCTCCTCTCTATGCTTGCTCTCAATGATCTGGGAGTGTCCCTTTCTACTCTTCCCACTGTGATTTCTACTTTCTGCTTCAACTACAACCATGTTGGTTTTAATGCTTGCTTGGTTCAGATGTTCTTCATCCACACTTTCTCTTTCACAGAGTCAGGCATACTGCTGGCCATGAGCTTGGATCGCTTTGTGGCTATTTGTGATCCACTACGCTATGCCACTGTGCTCACTCATAACCGTATATTGGCTGTGGGTCTGGGCATCCTTACCAGGAGTTTCAGCACTCTCTTCCCTTTCCCTTTTCTGGTGAAACGACTGCCCTTCTGCAAAGGCAATGTTCTGCACCACTCCTACTGCCTCCATCCAGATCTCATGAAAGTAGCATGTGGAGACATCCACGTTAACAACATTTATGGGCTCTTTGCGGTGATTTTCACCTATGGTGTGGACTCAACTTTCATCCTGCTTTCCTATGCATTGATCCTGAGAGCCGTGCTGGCTGTCATATCCCGGGAGCAGCAGCTCAAGGCACTCAACACTTGCATGTCACACATCTGTGCAGTGCTGGCCTTTTATGTGCCCATAATTGCTGTCTCCACGATTCACCGCTTCTGGAAAAGTGCTCCACCTGTTGTTCATGTCACCATGTCCAATGTCTACCTGTTTGTACCACCCATGCTCAATCCTATCATCTACAGTGTGAAAACCAAGGCGATCCGCAGAGGGATTCTCAAGTTCTTTCATAAACCCAGGCCTGAGGAAGGCTGAAGGCCCCAAGAGAGCTCCTTTGGAGGAAGGATTGGGACCTGTTAACAACTTTAGGAATGCTAAAGTAAGGAGGAAGAGGACCTAGGATCTTGATAGTAGTGAATGTATCACTAATAAAATAATATTTGACTATAAAATGACACATTTATTCAACACTTATCAATATATGTATTGAATATGAAGATTCTTGTGTAGTTGCTAAGCATGTTATAATGGTGAGTATGAAATATTGTAAAGTAACCACATAGACATGTGAATAGAAAATATTAAAAAGAGCAACAGGTATCCTGAAAAATGCTTGTTTGACATATATTATATGGGAATAAAGGAAGTTCTACAGGGCAAACAGAACTTAGCAAAAATAATTCTGCTGCTGTTTCTATTGCATGCAAGAGAGAAGATCTACTTGGTTTGTGGTCATAAAAACAGGCTATGTTTTGTGGTTATGAAGTAGCTTGTGAAAAATGAGAAAAGTTAAAATTCTTGATTGAGGATGTCAGGGAGAAAGAAGGGTACTGATTTTGGCAGACATAATTGCCTGAGAAGAAACACTCAGGCAGAAAGGTTTAGAACAGCACTATTCCAAGAATGGTCCAATAAACAATATCATTAGCATTTCTGGTAGCTTGATAGAGAAACAGATTCTTATGCTCCGCATAATTCCTACTGAATGAGAACTTCATTTAATAAGAAGCTTGGGTGATTAAAGCTTGAGAAAGACAGTGTTTCTCTTCTCTAACAGCACTCAGGTACTAGATTAATGCCAATCTGCTGTGCAACAAGGGTAACAAAACTCATGATGAGCGAGAGTTTGCAAAGGTGGTTCTTGATATGTGATTTTCAGATCAACATCATCAGCTTTGCATCAGAACTTTTTAGGGATGCAAATTCTGAGGACTTTCCCTAGACCACCTGAACAAAAAAACTACGAGAAGTGAGACCAAGAAGTTTGTGTTTTAATACATTCTCCAAGTTATTTCCATACCTATTTAAGCTTGGGAAATTTCAACCTAAAATATTGGTTGCAGATAACTGTTTAGACAAAGGGGAGGTTTCCAACTGGGACACTGGGCACGAGGTTTTGGGAGATTGCCAAAGTAAACTTGTGAATGATGCTTAAAGTGGGAAGCTGAATGCATCACAACTAAGCATATGATATTGTTGGTGGAGGGAAAAAGAGCAGACTTATAGCCTAATGTCTCCAGGAGGCAGTGCAGGTGGAAGACAGAAATAGCTTCAGAGGAGAATCTGATGAACAATCTCCAGCCACTCCACAGTCATAATCCCATATTGTGATTTCCTTCATTTCCCTCAGTTCTTACCCCATGACATTCAAAATTCAGGCAAACTCCAACTTTAGGTTTCTCATTCAGGCAAATAGAACTGACAGAGAGGGAAAGAGAGAGAAAGAGAGAGAGTGAAAGAGAGAGAGAGAGAGAGAGAGAGAGAGAGAGAGAGAGAGTTGATTGTCACAGTGAGATAGTTAGGTAAGAGAACTTTGTCAATGGGATTTCACTGTATAAAAATCTCCTGATCATGAAGTCTTCTAGGACTTTTCTGCAAATCTATTAGCTTTTTTTTCTTTTCTGCAGTCTATTAACTTCTTCCCTCTTTAGATGGGATGTGTTTAAGCTGGTTGTATTTTTGTTTACCAAGCATTTACCTGCATATTGTATCTATCTCTGCTTTGTTCCATTGTTAAAAATTTAACTCCACTTCACAGGATATATTTATTTCTTTATTTAATATTTATTGTGGGGAGGAAGCTTCAAAATCCCTCACAAATGACATTTAACACAAACACATTGTCTTGAGATTTAGATGTTATGTTTAGTGTTACCACCATCAGAGTGAACAAATCTTTAGGGTTTTTCTTGACTTATCCCCTCATTTAGTGGAGGCAGAAACTGAGTTTTGAAAAAGACCTTTTAAATATCTAAAAAATGGTGATAGATAATGGCAGTCCAAGCTAAAACTCTGCACTCAGCCCAGAGTCGGTCACATCAGTACATGTGAATTAAGGGAACAATCAAATGACTATTTAAATGAATGAAAAAACTGGATCTAGAACAATGCTTGCTGCCCTTCATGCTGCCTCTAATAACATAACTAAAGTCATTTTACATCATAACTTCTCAGAACCCTGCCTCTCCTTGCCAGAAATTTATGCCCAATGTGAGGCATCATTTATTTATTTTCTTCTTTGTCCATGATTCTGTGACCTAACTTACAAGGTCATAATTCATGATTTCTCCTGAATTTCATCTTCTCATTCCCAACTCATTATTTTCGGTCCAGCCAATCCTATAACAATAATACAAAGTAGAAGGTGTTCTGCAACTGTTCCTTTGAAGTTTCAGTGCTCCTCATGGGGAAGAGGACGTTACATCTTCTGTTTCCCTCTCTGAACCATACCACCACTTGATAGAAAAGGGAGAGAGCCCTCCTGCTGTTCCTTCTCTCAATATACCCTCACTCTAAACTGAAATGAACAACTGGGAAAATGGATTATTTAATGGGAAGTTCAGGTGCTGGGCAAAAGAATCTGTTTGGGAAACCTGAAATTGAAGCCTGCAAGAGAACTTGTGATGACTAGCATGTGTGATAAATTCAAAACAAACAACCTATTACTTCTTTCTTCCCATTTGAACCTCAATGCCTTGTATATAGGTACTATCCTTTTTTACAAAACAGGTTCTAAGTTAAAGGAATATTAATCTTCTAAAATCAGGAAGCTTGTAGGTGGCAAAGCCAGGACTTAAAATTATGTCTGCATGATTTTGAGCCCATGGTCCTTCAGCATCCTAGAATGTTTCTTTTGGAGGAGACCCTGAACTTGTGGGAACTTGACAGGCTATGGGAGTGGGAATTCAGGAGGGAAGTGTAGGACTAAGTGGATCGAGGCAGCCAAGTCATATCCCCTATTGCTTAAATCCTGGGGTTGTCTCTGGCCTTCAAGCTCTGGTCTCTGAGATCTAAGCGTTAGGTTCTGCCAAGCTCAGAATTCAGGGATCTAGACTCCGGGTTCTGGGCACAGAGTGCCAGTTTTGAGACTGGATAACTGTGGGGGGTGTTGTTATGAAGTTTGGATAATTTGTCTCCAACTTCTTCTTCATCATAAAAAATGAGTTGAAATTTCATTTTCTAAGTGGAGAGAGGACAGTATCTCCAGCTGAAGTGGCTTCTTATTTCTTTGTTTGCTTTTTCTTATCTTTTTATTCCCAAGGTAAGGTCTAACCCCTCTGATTTCCCCATCCCCAGCACAGCATCACACTCAGGCAAAACAGGACCCCAGGGGTCCTGGCATCTGGGAACTCTCACGCTGAGGCATAAAGTTAGCCTCCTCTCTTGGCTGGTGCCCGACTGAGGCCCATTCTGAAGCCACTGTGAGCTCTGGTCCTCTGCCTCTGGTCCAGCTCTCACTTCACAAAGCTCTCTCAGGTGAGTTTGATCAGTTTGAGTCTTTGAGTTATGTATGCAATCAGTATTTTTCTATCTACGATTCTGTTTGTGCTTCTGTGTGGTTCTCTCAAATTCTCCTATCATGTCTTTGCATCTTTGGGTGAATCTCTATCAATGCCTGTATATGTTCGCATAGTTGGCCACAATTAAAAAAATCCTCAAATCTCACTTTTACATAGGTTTTCTATAAAAAGAACAATATTCATTCAAATACCCTTGTGGTCTCCCAGCCACTTTCAGATAAGCCTGCTGGAGACTGCTTTAGCAGTGAAAGACACGTGGATGATCACACAGAAGGGGTTGAGAACTTGCTTCTCTTCTGTCCCACACAGATCCATAGCCATGGGATTCTGTCACTGAATAGGAGAGACCTTGCCAGCCTGGAACCTTAGGCCCGTGAGCAGAAAAAGAAAGTCCATTAACCCGGATTCAGCAGACGCTGACATTCTCTTTCCAGAACTTTCAAGAAGAATTATCCAATCTTTGCGTGAACACCTTCACTGCCCAGAAGCTTATTAGTTCATTGTGATTTTAGAAAAAATGTTTCTTACATGAACCCCAGACTGTCACTCTGTGATCTCCACCTATGGCTCAGCACCTGTCACACTGATCCCAACCCGTCTCTACTGCAGGCTCCTCTGGTCAAAATGAAGCATCATTCATTCCTTCAACGTCCTTAATGTGACTTAATTCCCTTTACTTTTTACATGTAATGCAGGCAATTTAACTCCTGTTTACAGTATAGAAGCAAGAACTAAAGGTACTTCAGTTACAGCCTAAGTAGTTTTATTTTATTCATTAATGGTTTTTTGAGCATCTCTTTGTGTCAGAATCATTTCATGTGTTGGGAAGGTCAGCATGAACCAGGCACAAATTTGCTCCTAAAAGAGCTCAAAATCTGACAGGAAGGAGGTAAACATGTAATTTTAATAAAATAGAAAAAGTCTGTGTAAAATATTACAAAGTTACTTCTGCTAAATAGTGTTAGAAAAAACTACAGATTTGTCGTAAGCTATATATCACAATGCTAATTCATATTACACTAGACTATCAATTGGTCCCTCTGACAGGAGGACTTTTGTGGTGAGGAATTTAAGAGTCAGACCCTTTGAGAAATACCTAAAGGGATTTAGGACAGGTTATGAGAAAAAGGAAAGATAACAGGATATAACCACAGAAACCTCAGGTACTATATGTCCATTCAGTGATTTATTCATCTAGTTAAAATATTTATTACGCATCTGCTATGTATTTGACCCTGTGCTAGTATGGGATATCTAGTGATAACAAAAACAGTTAATATCACGCATTCTTTTTAGAATTTATGATCTAGTGGGCATACAAACATTAGACAAATAATTACACAAGTACATATATGTTTACAAATTAATGTAAATGTTCTGCAAGAAAATAATGTTCCATGAGCAATATTTATGTAATACCTGATTAAGATTATTATGTCTCTGAGTCTGCAACACTATCTATAATGTGGAGAAAGCATGTTTAAGCCCAACGTAAGAAAACACTTAATATCTGTGAGATCTGAACAG